TGAACATGGCTTTTTCATTGACATTAAATTAAAAGGACTTAAAATAGCTCATCTAAATATATGTAGCTTATATCCTAAGATTGTTGACATTAGAGAAAAAATGGCTAATTACCCATTTGACATAATAGCCTTCTCTGAGACCCATTTGGATGAGTCTATTGGTAATGCAGAAATTCATATTGAGGGTTATTCTCTTGAGAGAAGGGACCGAAACCGTCAAGGGGGAGGAGTGGCCATTTACACTAGGAACAGCATTATATACAAACGTACTACGGAGTTTGAGTATTTTGACATTGAAAACATATGGATCGAAGTTAAATTAGTACACAGTAGCCCATTGATGGTCGGTGTGTTTTATCGTCCCCCAAACTCCAACACTTCCTATTCCGAATTGATGGACACATCAATATCCAAGATTGTGAATGGTGGCATGGAATGTTATATTCTCGGCGACTTTAACTATAACATGTATAATAAGAGAGAATCAAGAAATGTTAAAACTTGGTGTAATCAGTATAACCTGAAACAGATAATTGACGATCCTACCCGAGTTACTGAGAGTAGTTCTACATTGTTAGATTTAATTCTAACTAATCGACCAAACAATGTACTTGATAAAAATGTTGTCATTCATGGTCTGAGTGATCATAGACTAGTGTATGTTGTTAGCAAACATGTTAAACCGAAAACTCCAGCTAGGATTATACATACAAGAGCTTATAGACGGTTAAACGTAACGTTATTTTGTGAAGCATTATTAAATGCTAGAATGGAATTTATGGAAGGAAATGATATTGAAATTGAATGGAATAACTGGAAGACTAAGTTTGTTGGTATTTGTGATGAACATTGCCCTAAGATTTCTCTGAGGGTTAGGGGTATGAAGACAAAATGGGTCACGCCTGAGTACACTCGATTGTGCTATGATAGAGATGCACTCAGGAAGAAAGCTGAAAATTCAAAGGACCGACGGGATTGGAGTCTTTTCAGATCCTGCCGTAACCATGTCAATAATCTAAGAGTTACTTTGAAAAAGTCTTTTTGTCATGAACAAATAGTTCAAAACAAGAGGAACCCTTCAGAACTTTGGAAGATGCTTAAACATATTGCCCCTACTTCCACCAAAAGCGTTCCCAATACTTTGAACCTTGATGTAAATTGTGTTAATGAGTATTTTACATCTATTGGTAGTCTGCTTGCTGCCAGTCATTCCTATGTTGAACCTGTGATCTTGTCATTATCTCAGGACTCTATTCGATCTGTCTTTGAATTTGATTTGATTTCTGAGGATTTTGTACGAAAAGAATTGCACTCTATTCAGATTAATAAGGCAACTGGCCTAGAAGGGCTTAGTGCACGTCTCCTGAAGTTGGCCACACCCGTTATTTGTACACCTATTACTCACCTGTTTAATCTTTCTCTGCAAACCAGCCAAATTCCAGCTGACTGGAAGCAGGCACAAGTTACCCCAATTCACAAGGGTGGGGATAGGGACGATGTTAGCAACTATCGTCCCATATCTGTTATACCGTCGATTATGAAAATATTGGAAAAGGCAGTTAACGTGCAACTTCGAGACTATCTGTCAGATAATAATCTCCTAACCCCTCACCAATCTGGATTTAGGAAAGGTTATTCAACAAACACCGTACTTGCATTTTTGAGCAATTATTTGTTGACTAACATGGATAAAGGTAGAATAACTGGAATAGTCTTTCTTGACATACGAAAGGCATTCGACTCTGTTAATCATAGATTATTACTAGATAAGTTAAAACTGTATGGCATTACGGGACAAGCATTATCATGGTTCGAATCATATCTTGTACACCGGGCGCAGTGTACCTCCTTGCTAGGTAAAAAATCTGACGTGCTAAAGTTAAAGTCTGGAGTCCCCCAGGGATCTATATTGGGGCCCCTCCTTTTCACTCTTTTCATGAACGATCTTCCATCAGTCATCGAGCACGGTAAAGTGATTATGTATGCAGATGACACTGCCCTTATGTACAGTTCTTCAAATCCAAGGGAAATCGAAACATGTCTTAATCATGATTTGGATTGTGTGAGAAAGTGGTTAGAAAGAAACCAACTTACCCTGAATACGGACAAGACATGCTTCATGATTTTTGGAACACAGCAGAAATTGCTGAACTTGCAATACACACCAATCGCAATAAAAGTTTCTAATGTACCAATCAAGCAAGTTCAAAGTGTAAAATATCTGGGAGTTTGTCTAGACCAGCACATGACGTGGCAGGATCATGTGAAATACACTTCAAATAAAATTGCCTCTAGGTTGGCCCTACTTCGTAGAGTCAGGAAATATCTCACAATCGATAGTGCCAAACTACTTGCCAATTCCCTTATCCTTCCTTACTATGACTATTGTAGTGTTTCATGGAGTACTTGTAATAAAAGAACAAAAGATATCTTGATTAAGCAACACAAGCAGATGGCAAGAATTGTCCTGAAAATAAATACTTTGATTCCCACATCTGAAATGTTTAGTACCCTGAGATGGATTGACATGGAAAAAAGATGGGAGTTCAATAAAAGTAAATTAATGTATGATGTTATGAATAATAGTGCCCCATCATATTTATATGATATGTTCACCCTGTCCGCCCATACTCATAGATACTCAACAAGGAATGCTGACAATTTGGGCGTCATTATTCCAAGAATTAAAACAGAATGTGGAAAACGTGCCTTCTCAGTTGATGGTGCTCTTCAGTGGAATAGCCTACCCCACTCAGTTCGAAATGCCCCGACCAAGAATAATTTTTGTTCTCTCTATTTTAAGCAGCGATCTTAAAGATAAATCTGCCTTTCTTTCTTTATTTATTTCTTTCATGAATATTTACATAAATTTCTCAATATAATAATTTGTTAAAATCTAAATAGATCATTGATAATAATCAGAGTATATTGTTATCGATTTGAAATTGCTCATTGAAATTTATCATTCTTACTACGGCTTTGTTTCATTATTCACTCTTACTCTTTACTCACTTTCTGTTATATGTTGCTATGTATTGATGTTTTCCATGATGTTTATATTGTTCAAGTAGTTTGTTTCTTCATATATGTTCATTTATGTACAGGGCCCCCTGGAAAACAGTACTTTGAATACTGACGAGGCTACCCTGTTAAAATAAAACGGAATAAATAAATAAATAAATAAATAAATAAATAAATGCCAAAGGTATAGTATTTAACCAAAATTTATACATAAAGATTGCAGTTTGAAAACTGTGAATGTCAGCGATTTTTAATGTTTTTAGTTTACAAGATATTGGATCAGTATGGGCTAAATAATGTGAATGTGTACAAAAGACGAAGTGCTTTCTTTTGGAAACGATATATTAACATAATTTTCATCTTTCTACTATTAACTCCATATGCTTTTAATTTATGTATTAATATACGATTGTCCATGGTATCGAATGCTTTCGATAAGACCATAAAAACACCTACAGTGTGTTCTTTTTTAGAAAGGGAATCAGTTATTTTGTCACATAATTGTAGAATAGCACAATCAGTAGAGTGGTTCTTTCTAAATCCATATTTTCTCTAATATCTTTGAAATGCTTGATAGTAAAGAAATTGGTCGGTAGTTTGAAATTTTAAAGTGATCATCCTTTTTATATATCGGAATTATGTTTGCAACTTTTAGTGGATCGGGAAAAACCCCTTGGGAAAGAGATAAATTAAAGATATTTGATAACGGGGAAGCTATGAAGTGAATTATTTGTTTTAATAAAGATACACTTAGCTCATCGTAGCCACTAGATTTACTGCTTTTTAATGAACGAACAATTTCTAAAATCTCTTGAATTTTTGTTGGATTAAAAAATAAGGATTGATTAACGTTATTATTTAAGTATATCAAAAAATCTTTCTTTTTTTATTGATTATTTTGGAAGCTGAATCCGGTCCAATATTAGTGAAGTATTTATTGAATGCCTCAGCAACATCATTTGGGTCAATGTGATGCCCATTATCATTAAATTCAATATTATTTGGAGTATCCTTTTTCTTCCCAAAAATGTCATTAATTGTTTGCCATAACGATTGATTATTATCTTTATTATTTTCAATTTTATTACCATAGTATAAATTGCGTGATAAACGAATAATTGAAGTCAATTTATTACGGTACTTTTTATATTTATTTTGTTTTTCATTTTTAGGTGATAAAAGTGAGATTTTATATAAACGAATTCGGGTAGATATTGATTTAAGTATACCTTGAGTAATCCATGGTCGTTTATTTTTCTTTTTCTTTAATCTTAATTCTTGAGAGGGGCACATTTTTATTATAATGACAAAGAAGTTTGTTTATGAATTTGTCCGATGAACTGTTCACATCTCTTTCAAACTAAATATCGTACCAATCTTCTTGACTCAAGTCTATCTTTAAAGATTCAACATTACGCGTTGTTTGTTTCCGTCGTGTTGTATGTTCTTTATTGGGAATTTGTAGGTGTTTATCATTAGGACCTATCGTAAATATTGGTAAATGGTCTGAAATATCATAGTATATTATTCCATTCTGTTTATTATCTAATACGTTTGAGAAAATATTATGAATTATAGTATGTGTTAAGTTTGTAATCCTAGTTGGTTAATTTATGAGAGGTTTTAAGAAAAGTGAAGATAATAAATTAGTGAAGTGTTGGCCAAGAACGGTAAAAGGTAAGGATATATCGATATTAAAGTCTCCCATAATATATACATCTTTATTTTCTCTAGAACAAAATTCAAGGCATGATTCTAATTTATCAAAAAATGTGTCGGCTACATTGTTAGGTGGTCTGTACATTACCCCAATGATTCTATTCTTATGTTTATCATCAATAATTTCTAAAAATAATGTTTCTATTCCTTCCAATTGAATATCATGTCTTATTTTAAATTGTACATCATTACGAGTATAAAAAGCGACACCTCCTCCCTTTCCATTTTTACGGTATGAATGAATAATTTCGAAATTCTCAATGTTGAATATTGGAGGAGAAGTTGAGTGTAACCAGGTTTCGGTAAGTCCTATCAAAGAAAATGTGTTTAGGATAGATAAAAATTCTTCAAAATTATCGAAATTCTTTTGTAAGCTTCGAATATTAATGTTTAATAAACTAAAACAGTGAAGGTTATTATTGGGTCCCGTTGAATTAAAATTTGAATTCAAGTCACTAGTAGTATAATATTTACTCTTGGGTGTATAAACTTGATCATTCAGAATATTATTTAAAGCCATTAAGATTTAAAATTTGGTATTGCAACCAGTATAAATGAATATTTTGTGTTTGGTGCGTGCATGTGCGTGTAAGATTGCAAGTGCATTTATTATGGCTGTCGGCAAAACCAACAAAATCAGGGGGGTGTACATGATGTTCACTTGTGCGTGACTATCGGACAGACTCGGCGCTGGTGACAGCGTTCAAGCGTGGTCATTAATTTATTTTTTAAAAACTTAGAAATTTGTAATTTAAGAAAGTTTTAATTTTTAATTTTTTGAGTATTGTTATCGTTTAAATGGTCCCACAAACCTATAAGATACTTAGGTCACTACATATATTTTAATAATAATGAAGCTCTAAAGATGGACTGGGAGCAGAAGTTGATAAAATTGAGGAAAATTCTTGATAGCTGGACAAAAAGAAGCTTAACCATTTTTGGAAGAGTCACGGTACTGAAAAGTCTAGCACTTAGCCAAGTTACTCACTTGATCATGGTTGATTCCATCCCTCCAAACTTTTTGAAGTGGGAAAACAGAAGAAAAAAAAAAGGTTTCTCTTATGGAAGACTACAGTAAAGGTGGTATAAAAATACTTGACATACAAAGGCAATTGTTCAGCTTCCGACTGAAATGGTTAGGTAGATTTTTCAATGAGAGTAATGGAGCGTGGAAAACATTTTTTTCTTCCTGGTTCAACTTATTGGGAAGCATCAAGCTACTGCTGAACTGCTCTTATAATATAACCACACTTAATGATATTCTAGTTCAAAAGAAAATTCCGTCATTTTATGTAGAAATCTTAAAGGCATGGGAAATGATTAGATACTGCACTACAGTGAAAGATGTTTGTATATCTATACATGAACCAGTTAAAGTTTCAGATCAGATTATTTGGCACAACAAACATGTGGTGTATGATAATCAGTCGCTCTTTTATAAAGGCTGGTATGACAGTGGTCTAGTATTTTTAGGAGACCTTTTTACGAGAGATGGCTTTCGGTCAACAGAATATATTAAATCGCAGGTGCATTCCAAACGAAAATGCAATGCAATGTTTGACTATGCAAGACTTAAACGAGCGATACCTCCTGTATGGGTCAATAGTTTAAAAGAAGAATTTATGCATGATTATACTAGACAAGAAAATGAAAACAATGTTCCATATCTGTTGGTGGCAAATAAGGTAAAACATGTTACTGATATAAGTAGCAATCGTTTCTATAAACTCATTCCTTCGAGAACTGTATTAACTAACACATGTTGCCTTTATTGGAAAAAAAAAACTTAATGTAGATATTGATTGGTCTAAGGTATTCAAGCGTAATCCTGCTCAAATTAGAGAAAGCAAATTACGAGAGTTTAATTTGAAATTACTGTATAACCTATTGCCAGTAAGAAGTAATCTTTTCAAATGGGGAATATCCAATGACGATGTGTGCCCAACATGTAATATAAAAGAGGATATGAATCACGCATTTATAGAATGCAAACTAATTGAGCCCTTCATTAAACATATCAAAGAAATATTAAGAGATATATACAAAGTAAGGATACTGACGCTCAATATCCAACACCTACTCAAAATAGATTGTGAAAGTCATTGTATATTATTCTTTACAATAGCATTTTGGACCATTTATAAATTGATTGTTAAACGAAATATAACTGGGATAGACAAGAGAAAAGTTGCTTTTAAACAAAATCTCCATAGAGAAATTATAAAAAGAATGGAAAGTAAATCAAACTTAAAGATGAACAGAAAGCTTTTACCAAAAGAACTGTTGGGTGTTATTTAAGAAAAAAAAAGAAAAAAAAAGAAAGAAAGGGAACCAAAACTATCAGTATATAATTTGTATGTTAATTATGATTCAATTGCTTTGCAAAGCAAAACTTAATTTCAATTCTTTGTTATAACAATAATAATGTTTTTGCGATTATGTAAATTTGATTTGTAGTATTGTATCTTTGAATGTAACCATGTATATATAATCAATAAATCCTCTGATGAGGCAAAGAAAAAAAAAGTATAAAGCAACAGAATATCTTTTGAATTTAAATGCTTACCCTAACAAGAAAGCAAGAAATGTAGGGAAAGGAGATATTTGTAGGACAGCACACAATGAAAATTATGAATAAATTTATAAGTAAAAATGACAAAATAATATAAAAAGAATGATGATAGTAAAGACAATTAAAAATATTAAAACTGCACAGAACAAATTCAAAACATCTACATGTACATGTGATACATGGACAGAGATAGCAAAATGAGAGGGCTGTGGTAAAGGTGATGGAACAGAGGGTGCATGAGACAGACTAGGAGCTGAAATGAGTGATAATGAATGTTGATGAAGAGAAATTGATGCTGGATGATAGAGAAGGGCAAGATGAATTGTTACATGTAGATGGTAGAAAATGAGAAGACACAGGAGTTGGTGGAGGAGCTAGGGAGTATCATCACTCTCAGTCTCATCGCTCACATTGGTAGAGATGTGGGGAACACAAGAAAAGAGAGGTAACCAAGATAACACCAAAATCTAGTTTCCCTGCTGTCCCCCCCCCCCCCCCCATCAAAAATGTAGGTAGTATTAGGTAAATGTATTTTTGTTATATACATGTTTGTTCATTGTTCATCTCTTATCCTACACTGCAAATATTTAAATATATATTTTCTAAACATTTTTTTACTAACTGATACGCCAGTACATATTACACATGTCAGCTCCACTGAGGGGACGGTCCCTAGTCAGGTTACATTGTGCTCTAAGCTTATACTATTTGAACATGAGTTTGCCGCTTTTGTATATGTTAGCATAGTTAGTGCAAAAGGGGACGGTCCCCAGTCTAGCTGCATTGTGATCTAAGCTTTATACACAATTTGAACATAAATTTGCCGCTTTTGTGTATTCACAAAGGTTTACATTGCACTTTACGCTTATAAACACAATTTGAACATGAGTTTGTCGCTTTTGTGTATTCACTAGCATACCCGGTAGTTACTGCAAAGGGGGACGGTCCCCAGTCAGGTTACAATGTGCTCTAAGCTTATACACTATTTGAACATGAATTTGCTGCTTTTGTGTATTCACTAGCATAGTTACTGCAAAAGGGGACGGTCCCCAGTCAGGTTACAATGCACTTTAAGCGTCGAATAAAAATCATCAGAAAAATTATTTACTATTATTTCTACCAAGAATGATTACTTTCCGTTTCATGGAATATGAACAAATAATACAAATTCGCCAAGAGATGGCGCCGTTTACTATAATCGCTTACGAGGATCACTACCTTTCACACAGAGATCATCCAGTGTGTCCCTTTGTGTGTTGTTGCGCGCATGAATCCATGCAATAGGAGACTACCTCCCAAACATCAAATAAAGTAGAGTGGCCCTCTAGTGGCCTAAAACTGACATGCTCATGCTAATATCAGAACCGGGGACGGTCCCCGATCATCGAGCATCCCCGGTTTGAAGGTGTGTATTCATAGTATCGTCCCCGTTTACACGGGGGCACAGACACACCCACACAAATACACGCACACGCACATAGTGACAATCAGAGTCTGACAGACAGACAGCCTGTGGCTCGAATTCACAAACTAAGGAGGTTAGTCGACAAACCTAGGTTTATGTCCGTCATATGACGCGTTTGGTGCGTTCAGACCAAGGTTTAAGTAGGGACTTTTAGATTTGCACGTCGACAGCTTTGACTGCAAAGTGTGACGTCATTTTAAGGCACTGCGCATGCGTCACGTCGTCTCAGTCGGCTATCGAGAATACGTCAACCTTGATTTTCCTCAATCTAGTACGGTACTAGTATATGCCGCGTGCGCATATAATATACAGTTCCTCAGGTAGACAAAGGAACATCCCTTTCCTGCTATTATGTAAAAATGTGTAGAACAGGTGTCACATGCATATTCACCTGTTCTACACATATTTACATAATAGCAGTGAAGGGATGTTCTACCACAGCAATAGGCCATTTTCGTAATGTAACCAAATTTAATGCATACGTCTTTGTGAAGTGCCTCAATACAAATTATTTCATTCACCTAGTAAGAATAATAGTATTTCAATAGACATAATCAAAACTGCATACATTAGTTGTTGCCAGGTTGGACAAACGTTATGGATTGACCTACCTAGCAACACTTGATATATGCAGTTTGCATTCTGACTATTTAATTACTATTATTCTTATCAGGTGAATGAAATAATTTGTATTGAGGCACTTCACAAAGACTTGTGCGTTAAATTTGGTTACATTACGAGAATGGTCTATTGTTGAGGGTAGAATGAGGAACTGTATATGTTGTCCTCTTTCTTTGTCCGTCATGTTTATAGTGTTACTTCCTGTATGCATGTATGTCGTCGAGTGCAATCTAAAAGATTTCTGATTGTAGTCAACATGGGCAGTTGAGTACGTTGACACGCATGATCAATCGGCGTTCGTCGTGTTCACGTCCACTCAATCTAAAAGTCCCTATTGTCTGAACCTTGGTCTGAAACGCATCAAAACACGTCATATGACGCATATAAACCTAGGTTTGTTGACAAACCTTCTTTGTGAATTCGGGCCAAAGACAGACAGACAAAGAAAGGAGGGGAGAGGAGAGGCAGACGGGAGGTAATCATACGCGTACGTGTATAGGGCCTAAAATAAAAACTTGTTGTATTGTCCTTTGCGACCGACCCAAAAATCTGAAAATCTACGGTCGGCATTTAAATTTTTTTAACTGTTTTTTAGATTGATTTTTTTTATTATCAATGAATAATTTTTTTTTAAAGTATTTTGT